GGTGGGGGGGGGTTGGGGGGGGGGGGGGGGTGTCTTTGGGGTCTGAGTTTCCTCAGTCGTTCGTTCTCTTCCATTAAAGCGACTCAATAATCTGGACTATAATCTGAGTCTGTGTCTGTATTTGTTCTGGCAGCCTGTGTGCAGTGGGAGTCGAACCAGTGACTGGTGGACATTCATGTGGAAAAAGTGAGGATGAAGATTGAAGATTAGACTATGATTCCAGAGAATCTGGAACCTGACGATCTGTGTCCAGGGTTTCCTGCAGAACAGACGGATGAGGAGGAGACTACAGACCGGGGCAGTCAGTGACCATCTCTGCTCCAGGACTCAGGACTCACTGAGACTGATGTGATGTGATGGAGCTGCTGTCGCTCAGGTTCAGTCCAGGATTCAGGGATTGGTTTAATCCCCGTAATCCCAGTGTGATCCAGTTCACAGCCCAGACGGTTTGGCAGCCAATAAATCTTCAGCCAAAGACGACTGACACTTTTATTAGCCGCCATGTTGTGATGTTGTGATCGCCGTAATTCCCCAGACGAGGACGATTAGGAAAAAAAGGCTCCGAGACCAAACACTGACGACGACGACGGAGTGATTTATTAAAAGGATGACAGAGGAGAAAGTGAGCTCAGAGAAGAAGCAGCCAAGTGCTGCGATGAAGCACGNNNGGGGGGAGCGGGGGGGGGGGGGTCAGGCTGGTCACTCTGCCAGGGTACAGTAACTCACACTTTCCTTTCTCTGGGAGACAGTGTTGACCACAAGGGGTCGCTCAGGGTTAAAAGAGGTGTAAAAAATTATTGATACACTGAAACAAGTTCTCTGAGTATTTGTAGTAGTAGTAGTAGTAGTAGTAGTAGTTCTAGTTGTAGTAGTAGTAGTAGTGGACAACTCACACTTTCCTTTCTCTGGGAGACAGTGTTGACCACAAGGGGTCGCTCAGGGTTAAAAGAGGTGTAAAAAATTATTGATACACTGAAACAAGTTCTCTGAGTATTTGTAGTAGTAGTAGTAGTAGTAGTAGTAGTTCTAGTTGTAGTAGTAGTAGTAGTGGACAGAACCAACAACAAACAGGCAGATGATCCGACTCAGTGTCAACATTGACACAGAGATAAAACAGTGTTGACACAGAGATGGATGTTTCTGAATGTTTTCCAGTTGTTAGAAAAAAACAAAAAACAAATCTTGTTGGGACACAGAACACCACACGCCCCTCAGCTTTACAACACGGACCGTGAAGGACCTCCAAAAAACTCTGCACGTCGGTGGTCTGGTCCAGTTGATCCTCGGACCTGAAGTACTCCAGAGTACTCCAGAATACTCCAGAATACTCCAGAATACTCCAGAATACTCCAGAATACTCCAGAATACTCCAGAATACTCCAGAATACTCCAGAATACTCCAGAATACTCCCTGACGGCTGCAGCAGCTGAGCCTGAATTTACTGGAGGCAGTAAAATTCAGGATATTAAGAATTGATTTTTGTGAGTGCAGGGTACTTTAAAGTGCAGTATTAACTTGTACTGTTACCTGAGGAGAAGTGCATTAGTGGACAGTTATTTCACAGTCATGCAGTAGCTGTGGATTCACTGATGTTGACGTCAGTCTGTCGTTCTCCACCGGTCAGTGAAAATGATCTGCTCCATCACTCACCAAGTACAACGGAATACTCTCAAGTACAACAGTATACTCTCATGTACAACTGAATACTCTCAAGTACAACAGTATACTCTCATGTACAACTGAATACTCTCAAGTACAACGAATACTCTCGTGTTTGTGTCTTTGTTTTCGTTCTAAATTCCATTGACTGTTAATTCAGTTTAATCTTTGACTCCGAGGAAATGAAGTGATTTACGATGTTGATAAACGAAGGCGTGGACATGAGACTGAGGCGACACTGAGGCGACACTGACCGGTGACACTGACCGGTGACCGTTGAGCAGCTCAGCTCCACTCGACACCTGCTGAAAACAAAGGCACTGACTTCCTGCTGAGAGTCTTGTTACTGTTGAACAGTGACCAAACAGGAAGTGTGGAGACGAGGTGTCAGACACCACTGTGTACGTACGCAGTACTTGGTTGTACTTGGTTGTACTTGGTTGTACTTGGTTGTACTTGGTTGTACTTGGTTGTACTTGGTTGTGAGTGTAGACTGTTCTCAGCGAGGAAGCTAACGTTTCCTGTCTCTCCAGCAGGCGCCATCAGTTTCCCTTCTCCTAAATTCCCTGGAGTGTGACCACAGGCGTCTCTCTCGCCCCCTGGAGGACTCTGTATGGTAATGTTTGATGGCGTTTAGCAGGGACCATTAGAGGCAATTTTTGCCCCAGCAGTTTGACGACTAATAGACTGAGCAGGAATCCAAAAACCCTGAGAGCAGGAACGATTGATGGACCAAAAAAGGACAAAAGTTTGTTCAGGAAACCTGGAATGTTCTGGTGTCGTTTGCAAAAATGCAGGAAATTAGGAAAAAAATATGTGTGAAGAGTCACATGACGGACGGACGGACGTGTTGAAAAGATGTTCAACCACCAAACCAGGAAGTAGTAAACATGATGAGTCGTGACTGCCCTGCCTCCAGGTCCAAACGAGGGGCAATTAGCATTTACTGTTGGTTCAGGTCCAAGTGGTTTTTAGAAGAAAACTGTGACTTTTGTTGCAGTGAAATGTTTGTCGTCCACTGATTCAAACTGATTCAAACTGATTCAAACTGATTTAAACTGATTCAAACTGATTCACTGCTCTTTTGTTTTGTTGTTTCCACTTTTATGGTTTGTCTCTTTGGTGCAAATTTTAAAAATGCAATCAACGTGGCTACGCTAGCAAATCACATCCATGTGTGGTGAAGGAAAAGGAAGACTTTATTTTCTCTCTCTCTCTCTCTCACACACACACACACACACACACTTTATCACATTTACAGGTTTTTCTTCATCAGTCTTTGACTCTGATCCAGGTCGATCATTCATGCATTTTCATTTATCACATTTATTCTGGAACCTTCAGTGTTTTTCAGCGGTGCCTAACGAACACATGATTACATCTACATCAATTAGAATATTAGAATATAAGATGAGATCGTTGGTTCATGGTAATGTGAGACTCCTGGTCTCCTGGTTAAACCCTGGGTCATCGGTACCGTACACTGGTACCGTACACTGGTACCGTACACTGGTACCGTACACTGTGATTCTGTAGTCATGGCGATTATTGAGGCTCAACATAAGGTTACTGTGTTTGTAATCACTAGAGAAGAGTACTGGTCCAGTATCCTGATACAAAGTATTGCGATATTCCAGTGTACCAAAACTTTCCTCCCCTCCTACTGGAGGTTTGACCTTTGACCTCAGCTGTAAATGAAACTCTTTTCTCCCCCAGCAGTGATGGAAACTTCCAGTGCTACGGCGTCAGCGTCTGCCTTCATTTAGATTCTTATCACGGACTTTGAGACTTGAACCCGTTTATAACGAGCTGTTGACTTTCTCCCCCAGGGAGGACAGACCATAATGACCCCCACCCACAGCTACAGCACTCCCTCTGGTAGGTCTCAAGTCCTGGACCCTAGGTAGCTTTCACAGCTGCAGCCACAGACGGCAGCGGTGTCAGGAGCACAGATGGTCCGGGTCCGGGTCCAGGTCGGGGGGGGGGTCAGCGAGACCTCCATGTTGAAACACTGACTTTAATAAGCTGTTTGTCTGCAGACTCTGTCATGGTAAACGACAATTTGATGTCATGACCTTAACTGAACCTTTTTCTATTTATGATTTATTATTATTTGTGTACCTTTGTATCTTTGTATCTTTGTATCTTTGTATCTTTGTATCTGTGTATGTTGACTGTAGCTCGGTTGTTGATTGACTGAAGTGTCTTTGGTTAAAAGTGTGATGTGATGATCTGTGCTGGAGGAGGTGGCTCAGTGTTTTCTCCTGCAGTGAAACCATCACCGCAGCAGATCGTTGTTGTTTTATGGGTTTCTATGGAAGAGTCAGCGACCTCTGTACAAGGTGGAGTCAGGAGTGAGGCAACAGGAGTTCAAGTGTTCCTCTCTGTGGCTGCCTGGAAACTGACGGGGAGACACCCACAGGGCACGTGGGCTCGGTGCAGCCCCGGTGTATAAAAGCAGCTGACGGCAGTCAGAGCAGCAGAGGACGGGCTGGTGCAGAGCGGTGAGGAGAGGCTCAGGTCTCCGTCGGTGTCGTCAGAGTTACACAATGAGGAAACAGATCAGATGAAGAAGAAGGAAAGGACTCTACAGCAGGATCCAGGATCCAGGACCAGCAGGAACACACTCTGGTTCTGGTCCACAGCCCCGGCCGGGACTCACCGTCTCCAGCAGAGAGGACGTGGTCGTCTCCATGGAAAGCTCACATCTCCAAAGGTGGGTTCAACGTTCCTAATCTGAGCTCTGGTCATTCAGTCGTTCAGGATTTCTGCTTTTCCTTTTCACCAGTTTTACTGTTCTGTCAAAAACAACAACAACAACAACAACAACAAAACAGTTTTCAGTTTTAAAACAGTCATACTTTAAACATGATGTTCACAGACAACATCAGGTAATAACATCAGGTAATAACATCAGGTAATAACATCAGGTAATAACATCAGGTAATAACATCACATCAGGTACAACATCAGGTAATAACATCAGGTAATAACATCAGGTGATATCATCAGTTTCTCCACCTACATCAGGATCATTCATGATTCATGACTGTGAGTCTGTGACTCTGTGAGTCTGTGAGTCTGTGACTCTGTGAGTCTGTGAGTCTGTGACTCTGTGAGTCGGTGAGGCTGTGAGAGTCTGTGAGTCTGTGAGTCTGTGAGTCTGTGAGTCTGTGAGTCTGTGAGTCTGTGAGGCGTTCAGGAACACTGAATCGTCAGTGCATGTAAAAAAACAAACAGTTATTAAAATGATCTCACTCTTTAATGACTGTTGATGATGATTTATTATATAATTTTCTGTGTTTATCTGCTCCTTCACATCAACAGTGAAGTGTACTGTGTATGATGTGTACCTTGTGTACTTTTACTGCAGTTTTTCTCTTCTTTTTTTAACTGTTGACAAAGATGAATCCCAGAGCACGACAGATTAAAACCAGGAATAATTAATAATCCTCATCGTCATTAGACCCCGCTGACGATTGAGGATCACATTTTTGAATGATTCCACCTGCCGATCATCGCACTCCTCTGACCTCTGACCTCTGACCTGCAGCCGTGGTTCTCCTGATGTAAACACAGTGGCTGCGTGTTCTGGTGGAATGCTGCTGCAGCGCCTGCTGTCAACAGAAACTTCCAGAACGTGTTCAAACTGCCCCCGCTGACTTACGTGGAGAACAGAGTCGGGTCGACACCTCGCAGAGCGTTGACGACCAATCACCTCTCCCCCCCCCGGTGTCTCAGTGTCTGCCTCTCGTCTTGCTGACATGTTCTTTCACCCTCTAATCTGGTTACAGTTTATATTCTGCACAAAGCTGCCAGTCATTTAGGGGGCGCTAGTGATATTTAATAGCAACAATAAAAGCTACAAATTGAGCGACATGATCAGGCAGGTCAGAGCCGTTACAAAAAGTCCAGATTCTCCTAACTTCCTGTCTCTTTTTCCTCCCAGTATCCGTTCAGTCAGAAGAACCAGCTCCGACCCAGAGCCCGGCAGAGATGCTGGCCATGCAGCACTTCAACTCCTCAGGTATGGCTGCCCCCCCGCCTCTCTTTAATCACACCACCATGGTGCTGGAGCCTGAGGTGGAGGCCGTGCCACCTAATGCCACCCTCCCACCCAGTAACCCCACGGCCGCGGGCCTCACCATGACCCTGGGCATCCTCTTCAACGTGGTGGCGCTGGTCATCCTGGCCAAGGCCTACAACCGCTTCCGTCGCAGGTCGAAGGCCACGTTCCTGCTCTTTGCCAGCTCCCTGGTGGCCACCGACCTGGCCGGACACGTGATCCCCGGAGCCCTGGTCCTCAGGATATACTCGGCAGGTGCCGGCTTCACCATCGACCCCGTCTCCGGGACCAGACGGGATCCTGACGCTTCCTGTCTGTTTCTGGGCGGCTGCATGGTTTTCTTTGGTCTGTGCCCACTTTTCATGGGCTGCGCCATGGCGGCCGAGCGCTGCCTGGGCGTGACGCGGCCCCTGCTGCACGCACGTCTGGTGACCACAGCGCGGACTAAGATGGCGCTGGCCCTCATATGGACGCTGGCTCTGGCCGTGGCCCTCCTGCCGCTCATCAGCCTGGGCACCTACACCTACCAGTACCCGTGGACGTGGTGCTTCATCAGGGTGATGGAGGACACCGGGGCCACGGACCTGGCCTTCGTGGTGCTGTTCTCTGGACTGGCCCTCAGCTCACTGGCCCTGGCCTTCGTGTGTAACACCATCAGTGGGATCACACTGGTCAGAGCACGCCTAAAGAAGAGGCCCTGCTCCCAACGCCGCTCGGCCAGGTCACATGACACGGAGATGGTTGTGCAGCTGGTCGGCATCATGGTCACATCCTGCATCTGCTGGAGCCCTCTGCTGGTGAGTCTGGTTTATGTAACTCATTCACACCAGCTACCAGAGAAAATCCTAATACGACATCAGAGTTACTGAAACATCCCAGAATAAGTCTGAGGTGAAACTCCACATTCATGGAGTCAAAGACGAATCTGATCGACATTTAAAAGACAGTTGTGTTTTAAAGAGTGGCTCAAGCTGCCAGAAAGTTTCATTGTAAATGTTTTAGGAATTCTAGTCATCCATGAATCAATCCATCATTAAAACGTGACGTAGAAGATGATGTCATCAGCAGGAGGCTGCAGTTCAGTCGCGTGCATTCTTCACTCTGCACAGATGTTGTTCAAGTTTGTGCAGGTTCTAGATCTGCTCGCTGCAGACACATGACGCACAAGTCAGGCCTGAGTTTGATTGACAGCTGAAACCCGGGCCACACTTTGTTTGACAGATTAGCCGTCACTCAGACACACTGAGGTCGGAGGTCAAACCAGTTTGTGAACAGACAGAAACACTTATAGACTTATAGAAAATGTTAAGGTCTCCTTGTGTCTTTTTACTTATTCAGTTGTGAACTTGACTTTTTTATTCGACATCTATTTGTTTCTGTGATCAGTTGTCGTTTGGACTCAAACCTAAAACCTCGTCTGTTTTTGAAGATCTTTGGCCTGATGTCGGCTGTGCGCTCCTACAGCGGCGCCCTGAGCAGCGACCGGGACACGTACCGGGGACTGATGGTGACCGGAGTCAGGATGGCAACCTGTAACCAAATCCTGGACCCGTGGGTCTACATCCTGCTGCGGCGTGCCATCCTCAGGAAGATCTACGGCATCACCAAGAAGCAGGCCAGTTTTAGGGGGAGCACTTTCCGCTCCACCCGCTGGGAGGTCAGCTCTTTCCAGAACTCAGAAAAAAACAGTGGTAATAATAAGACCTGAGGGAAGAGCACGGTGTTGGAAGGATCCGGACTGACACAGTCCAGTTTATACAGGAACAGCTGATCCTGACCTCCGAGGTTGTTGAAAACATCGATGAATGAAACGGTGGATGTTAAAGAGCAGCTGGTGATGGGGTGTGTGCACGGGGGCAGCCTGCCCTCTGTGAGAGCAGATGCTAACGTAGCCCCAGTCTGCGTGCAGAGTCATGATGATCGTGTCACACATCTCAAGTCCAACGAGTTCTTCTGCTGTGAACGTGCTGATTGGTCGGTTCAGTGGAAAGGCTCACATCAGAGCAACTGAAAAAGGCTGTGCTTTTACCTCAGCTCCAAGATGTGAAAAAAAACACACGGTGTGTGTGTGTGTGTGTGAGAGAGAGAGAGAGAGAGAGAGAGAGAGAGAGAGAGAGAGAGAGGCTGTGACGTGAACACGTGTTGTGAATGTATCTACAGTATTTGCCCCAGTTGCCTGGGGCCTAAAGCTAATTAAAAGGTGAATGTGATGTCACATGTTTCATGGTTGTGTTCATTTGTGTCTCTGACAATATTCACACCAACAGTACGTTACGGTTCTGAAAGAACTGGGTCTAAATTATGGATAAATTATGTTTTATTATTAGTCCAGTAATGATTTTATGAGAACAAATTGTCTTTATCTAAAAAATAAAACAAATTCTATATGAAATATGTATGGAGTTTAGAAAGAACAGCACACCACAGAGACTCAATTCAATTTTATTTATAGAGCACATTTCATACACAAGGCAAACTCAATGTTCCTGAGATGGTGAGTCAACTGAGATGAACACAGGTGTTTGAACAGCGTTCACGTGACAGATGCTGCGGCCAAACTCGATATAGTTCTGACTCAGGATGATGATGTCATTATAAAGAACATTTTTAAACACTTAACACCGTTCCCAAACATCAGTCGGTTGTTTTCTGAGGTTAAATGTGATAAATAGGTGTTGATGTTGATATAGGAGGAGAAATATATGCAGCTGTACTGTGAAA